TATTATTATTAATAATAATAATAATAATGCTGCGCTAGAGACGGCTATAGTATTTCCAATATATTAGACATTTTTTTGTTTGGTGACTTATAGGAGTGGACGAAGCCACCATCATTGACATCCTGACTAAAAGAACAAATGCTCAGCGTCAGCAGATCAAAGCTGCCTATCAGCAGGCTAAAGGAAAGGTAAAATATATTCAAGCTAAGCTTAAATTTACACCTGGAATATCAATGTTGCTTCTGGCTCAGGTGGTACATACAGATTTAGCCTCATAGAGCAAAAAGTTACAGTATTCTGACTTCTGCAGTTAGTGAAAACGATGTCAGAATCATAATACCCTGCAACTACATTGCCAGTGCTAAGCCTTCGAATACTGTAGCCCCTAGTTTGAAATAAAAATAAAAATTTTGAAGTTCCGACTTTCCAGCTTTTTGATTGCCCTAGAGATCCTTTAAATCACTAAATCACTGGGAATGCAGAGATTTCACTGCCACCTGGGAGACAGGCTGCTGCGAGAAAGGGAGGGATGGAGAAGGGGACTTGGAGGTATCTCTCCGAATTTTTTAAGTCCAGATAGAATACTACATAGGATAGCAAAATTGTAGGGCCATAACGCTATTCCACAAGTATACCAACACTGGTATAGGGATGGGGGAACAAGGATCAGTGTTTTTCTACCTCTGAGTGGTAAAACTGTTAGCCCCTGCAACTGAGAAGCTTGGAAATTACTGTGTGTTTCTGGAAAAGGTTTTAATTGCACTTTTCTCGATAACAAATTTTCTCCTGCAACAAATTGAACCTGTAACTCTAAATTGAAATTACAATTGCACAGTTGGCATACCAGAGTTACTGAGCATTTGCTCCTGGGAAAGTGATTGAGTGTGACTTTCAAAGGCCAACTTAGAAAGTAAGTCTAATAGCTCATTTTAGCCTAGATTTCCTGTTTCTGTTCAGGAAACCTCACTTGTGATTTTCACAGCTGTCTTGCACCTCAGAGTAAGCTCCAGTCTTGCAGTTGTATTTTTTAAAGACCAAAATTAAAATAAAATTTCAAAGACACAGGGAAAGTAATGCTGTTAGATTATTAGACACCCTTGTTCCTGGCATACTGTCAAAAGCAGAACAGAATGAACTATGGATGTGCTTGCTACTGAAATAATCTCTTTGGTTTAGGTATCCTAACAAAGCAGGTTGACCTTCTCACTCTTACAGCCACAACCTGGACACATACTTTGTGCAGAACAGGGCTGTAACTTTTAGTGTAACAAAGTAGAGTACTGAGCATTTCCAGATAGCAGGCAGAACAAATCAGATTTTTTTTTAAACTTAAATTAATGTCAAATTAGAATATAGCCCAAATCCTAACTTCAGGACTTGCAGTTTTGTGTAGGGCGATATTATGCTATGTCCACAGAGTTTCAACTGCAAATTCTGTATCCATTATGCAGTAAATGGATTAATTAAATGTTATCCAGATAAGCAACTCAGTCATAATTCTTAAGAGAAACAACCTTCTCTTAAAAAACCTGTAGCCTATTTTGAGTCTTCTGATACTGTAACTGGGTGAATATGGCTGAACTGCAGTGTGTGAAAGCACTCTTGAATGCTTACTGAAAAACTCTGACACTTTGATTATGTTAAATAAAGGTGACAAATAAAAAATTTCAAGTAGGGCTTCATAATTATTTGCTGGTAGCTAAAGGAATGATGTAGATTAAGACTCATCAGAGATCAGACTAATTTTTGGACAGTAGCTGAACAGCAGCTTTTTAGCATTCACTAGCTTGGTGTGTTTCTTATTCTTCCTGTCACAGAGTCTGGAAGAAGCCTTGAAAAATGTTCTGAAAAGCCACCTGGAAGATGTTGTGGTGGCTCTGCTCAAAACTCCAGCTCAGTTTGATGCTGAAGAACTAAGAGCCTCTATGAAGGTAAGGTAAAAACTTCTGACAAAAAACTTTCCTAAATACCATAAATAATTATCAGGACCTGTAAATGACACTGGACTTGGATTTCAAAGCTTGTCTTTGAAGCTATTGTCTTCATTTTAACCCTGTTCTATAAAATAAATCTATACTTATAATCCAGGTTCTGAGAACAAGACCCAGTAATCTCTGCTGAATTTTAGGGTTGAAGGATATTCTTTTGCGAGAAGCAAATCTCTGCCTTCTAAAAACTGTTTGCCGATGCCGTGGTATAAAGCCATAGTGTTTTCATATATCTTTACCTAAGAGAAAACAAAAAGGGAAGGGGATATTTTTCCACATAAATTTTAGATTCCTGTACACTGCTTGATCCCTTTAGCACTACTTTTGGGTACCAGTGATATTAAAAGTGACAAAAAATTAATTCCAAAAGAGTTGAAATAACAATATTGTATGGAAGCACAATGTTTTTCATTTTTCTTTCTTGTTCCACGTGGGGCCTTCAGAGCCAAGTCCATGACATTTATCTTATTTCTGTTCTTCTAAATTTTAAGTTTGCTGTATCAAATAACAATCCTAAAAATTCAATCACTTTTATCAGGGGCTTGGAACTGATGAAGATACCTTAATCGAGATTCTGGCGTCAAGAAACAATAGAGAGATAAGAGAAATCAGCAGATACTACAAAGAAGGTAATTCAGAGCAAGAAGTATTAATGGTATAAGTCTGTAGCAGACATGTTACATGTTTCAATATGAGAAGCTGAGATGACGTTGTAGGAGGCAAGTGAAGCTTCACATAAGATTGAAAGAGTTGCAGGGGAGGGAGGTCATGTTGACTTTTCCTGACCTACATAGATCCCAATGCAGAAGGAAAAGGCACATCATTGCCACCAGAACTACGGATGTCTCATGGAATGGGCCATGCCTTTAGATGCTTTCAAGGATGCAAGCAAAATCCATCTGCTTTTCTTCTCTTGTAACTAAGCCTTGGCTGACTTGTTAAGACCTCACTAGGCTTGGAAAATAATGTTTATTGAGTTAGCAACAGAGATAACATTAGCACTAAGTGCAACCGGTGAACTAAAGTGGGAAAATCTTTGAAGGGATAACTAAAATGTAATGTGGCATTTCTTATATCTGTAGAGTTTACTGCAGTCAACCAACATTGTCTAATTAAATAATGGTTTCTGAGATTACGGACTAACTTTTCCAAGAGGTTTCCATTCAAATAGTCTCAGTTAGAACCTCAAATCAATAGTTTGTGGTTTTTTGGAAGAGTTTTGTGATTGAGTTATGTGATGATAGGAACAACCAGAAATAAGAATGAAAGCCAAACAGCTCAGAAAAATTTTCAGGCTTTTTTTTTTTTACTTCACAAGCTAGAGCCCAAGACAATGTTTCCACAAGACCATAGAGAAGGACTTTTTCAGCAGACTTTGAGTATAGTCTTCGATTTCACATCTCAGGGATTAGAGGACATGTTACAAATATACCTCTTCTCTTGAAGCTAATGAGAGAAAGTAAGAAAACTGTGTTTATATTGGGCATATTTAAGTGGGAAATTAAGAAAAGGATGAAAAATCATAGTCTCCTAGAATGGTTTGGGTTGGAAGGGACCTTTAAAGTCATCTACTCAACCTAGTTTAAGTTTGATAACTTAAAACCAAACTACAAATCCTTTTTATTTCAGTGCTGAAGAGAGATCTGATGCAAGACATTATCTCTGATACATCTGGAGACTTTCAGAAGGCTTTGGTTGCTCTAGCCAAGGTATGCTGTGCTTAAGCATTTTGAGTTATGTTACCTGTAATAAAAAATTAATGTTGTCAAGACTATTTTAGAGAAACACATACATTAAGTAGGATTTAGGTAATATTTATTTCCTTACATTATTTTTTATTTATATATCTTAGACCACATAAATTGTTCTTAAACAAGCTATAATGAGGTTTTATCTCAAAAGCATTTTAAAAAACAATGATATTTATTATTGTTTATCAGTTATGCTTTCAAGACTCCTTTTTGGTGATAACTGTCTGTAAGCACCTGAAAAAACAGTAGGCATGATGTCATGTCAATTGACTAGAAATAGAAGAAGAAGAAATGCTTACAATTAGAGAAATAAACTTTTTGTCGCACTGTTAAGATATGTTTCTAGTAGTTAAATAACGGGACAGGGGCAGGGAGCTAACAAGTGGACAAAGTGTTTTGTGAATTTCTGTGCAAAAGCAGATGAGTTTAAACACTGAAGCTGCCCAATTAAAAAAACACTTTAAAATGTGTAAAGACCTGAATCTTTTACTGTTGAGTACATGTATATGAAGCTTGTACATGCACGCAGGATTATTTTTTGATATGTCCATGTGCATGGTTTTGATTTTCAGTTTTTAGTTTCAAGTCGGTTTAAAAAGTGTGTATTGAATGGTCATCAGGGAGCAAATCACAGCTTCTAAGCCTGCAACTTCACAGTAAGAAACAATATTTCCTGTGGATTTTAGTGCAGGTCTTCTGAAGTAAGTTACTGATGGTCTTAGAAGCGTGAGCTGTGAATGATTACAAATACACCAGCTTTATTTACAGAATGATTGACATAACTGTATGTATCTGCAATTATGTATCAAATTATGTGTGATAACGTTAGTGTGGAACTCTAAAATGCCGAGTTTTGATGTGATTGTGACTACCAGTGAAATTTTATTTATTTATTTATCTAGGGTGACCGATGTGAAAATTCTCATGTGAATGATGAGCTTGCTGACAATGATGCCAGGGTAAGATCATACTTGGCACTCTGCAGAGCTTCTTCATCTGACTTGAGTTTACACTCTGGCTGGGAATGTTCTACCTGAATCTTCTGCATTGCAGACCTAAAAAAGATTTGTATGTTACATAACAATATTTTCTGAGGAGATGCTATTTTATGAAGTTCACGTAAGCTTCGTTATCTGAAGGAAATTAAATGTGCACCCTAATGTCTAGCTTCAGAAACTTTTCTGCAAGATCTCTTCTAGTTCATGTAAAGCACGCAGACCATTTGGAGTAGAGGTTGACAATTGGAGAAATTAGACACAATCTTCCTTCTGTTTATAACACAGAGGGAAGACTTGAGGGACAAGGATGTACTCATATATATGCAGAACCAGCTACCATACATCGACCAGTGTGAACTCTGCAGTGTGTTAGCTGTAGCTATTGCTTTACAGTGATGAACCTTTCAAAACTATTGGGTAAACCTCACAACCATTTTCTGAATAATTCTAAAATAAACAACTGATCTTTCCCTTATTACTTTCACCATTAGTGTGATAATTTTCGTTAAAATCTTGGTAAACCTTAGCTGTCTTTCCTGATTCTTCGCCTGTAAAATGTGACATCACTGTTACAATTTAAATGTAGATTGGCTTTAAATTGATTTGTTAAAAATCCAACCAAGAAAAAGCCATTGAGCAATAATGCTTTTCTTCCTGCTACATAAGGAGTTTAGTTTTGGCACCAGCCCTAACTATGAAAGATCAGTAAATGAATACTCTGTCTAAGCTCAAAAATTCAATAGTATTTCTCTTGCTGCAGACAGAGTGTTATTCAATCTTCTTTGCTGCTGTGTGGAGGCCTTAAATTATTACTTCTAGAGAGGTCCGAGGAGGTAAGGAAAATGAAGGAGACTGATTTGGTTCTTACTTTCCATTAAAGTCACTTTTGGAAAGACAAGGAGTACTTGCTGCATAGGCTTCTCCTTCATATTTGTCCAGTTAATAGCAGAGATAATTCCGTTGGTCTGAAGAAAGTCTACCAGTCCTAAACTCGCATGCAGACTGTAAACATAACATGGCATATGAAAAATATCTTCATTCAAGTATGTGATCTTGGAGATCTAGATGGTGATTGTAAAATGTCTGAAAATATGTTTTCTAGCTGCACAGTGTTGTCTAAGTACTATTATGACATAAGTGCAGTTTTACTTGCTAGAGGTAGAGTTTGCTGTTTTGTAGAGTTTTGTTATGAATTGTGTCAAGGGCTACAGTTCATTACTGATAAGCAATGGCCTAACTTTGTCTGGTAGCCTCTGAAGTACAGCATTTCTGTTTGAGTTTTACTATACTCATGTTAACTCTACTACTTTCTTTTCTTTTTGACAGGCCTTGTATGAAGCAGGAGAGAAAAAGAAAGGAACAGATATTAATGTGTTTGTTACTGTTCTTACTACAAGAAGCTACCCACATCTCCGAAGGGGTATGTTGGATGAAACTTTGTGATTCCTTTGAATGGTATTTTGAACATGGCCTACTCTTGAACTCAGAGAAGATAGAGATATGACTCTGACTGCTACAAAGGTCTTTGTGATTGGACACATGCTTGCTGACTAAGGGTGCAGTTGGCAAGTTGGCTGTTCTTTCCATACTAGCCTGGTAGCCTCCATATCATTTAGGTAATTGACAAAAATGTTACCATGAAGTCTCACATGACTAGTGATCGTAAGGCCAAGGGATCAGGGTGGCAGATGTTCTGAGTGCTCCTCAGCAAGTTTGGCCTGGGTAGATGGGTATCATCTAATGTCACAGGCTCCAGTGGAGTCATTGGACCACCTCTATCCCTACCAATGGGAACATGATGTCTACCATCCTAACAAAGTCCCATTCCTTATTCTGACTACACCAGTCCATGCAATAACACCGCTCTTTACATTGTGCTGGCTGAAGAAAATGAGAAAGATGGCCCAGAATCAGTCATTTGTGTGCACTGCTGCACCAGCGAGGGCAGAATAAGGCAGAGGCAATGCAGGAATAATACTATATTTTCATCACTATTCACTGAATTTTCTTCCCTTATTCAGTCTTTCAGAAGTACACCAAATACAGCAAGCATGACATGAACAAGGTACTGGATTTGGAGCTGAAAGGTGATATTGAGAACTGCCTGACTGCCCTTGGTAAGTGGTTCTACTATATATACTGACCGTATGAAAACACACATTTTACTTCTGTAATACTTGCTGCGATAGCAAACCATTCTGGGCTTACCCTGCTTCACTGAGAATCTCGCTCATTAATACTTTAGAAAATCTAGTCCAAACATAGTGATTTAGTTGAGTGATTTAAAATCAATTAAAGCTGATGAATGAGTAGAAGTACCTTTCCTGATATGTAGGAAGGCCTTTTAAGGAGAACATCAAGATAGGAAGACCTTTACGAGAAGTCAATATGTCAGAAAGAGCTGTCAGCGCAAGCACAATTTGTATCAAAAATCCAATAGTTTTAAGCCTGTCTTCAAAAAAGCCAAAACCAACCCTATTCTTCTTTAAATTTTGTTTTTTTGAAGACATTTATAATGCATGATTATTAAAAATATAACAAATTTCTGTCTTTGTTTTTTTCAAGAAAATATTCTTATAAGGTTCGTGATAAAGATGTGTATTAAGACCTTCAACATTACTGTTGCTCATAAACAACCAGGTGAGGGAGTGGGCTCTGATTAGTGTACCAGGGTTGGACCTGGGAGCCAGATACCCATCTTGTTCTAAGCTTTTTTATCACAGTCAGGTGTACTTCAGATAAAAGAATAAGTCCCATCAGATCTCTCTTAATATCAGAAGTGAAGGGCAAGTATTTGGTATAACTTGGTTTACAAAACATCAGTTCATAACTTACAGCTTTGCTGTAGAAGACACAGATGCTTCCACATTTTTCTTCTTGGGAACTGCAACGTCATTCTTCATTTTGTGGCACTGAACTAGGGATCACAGTCTTGTCTTCACAGTGACTGTTCTCCCCTGTCTATTTCTGAATAGACAGGAAAGGAACTGCTACTTCTCCCATATTTTGAAGACAGGTGAAGAATAGATAAATAGGATGTGCTGGTAGGAACACTGAGACTGTTTTATAAAGGTTTTCTTTCTGGACTTTTGCCTTTTGTTACTTGTTACGTACGTAACAGATGTGACCTTATCTCATTGTTTTGTTACAGTGAAGTGTGCCACAAGCAGACCAGCTTTCTTTGCTGAAAAGCTCCACTTGGCGATGAAGGTAACCTAAAGGACAACTTTGTAAACATGGGGTACTTTGTAAGCTGTAAAATAACAAGCTAGCTAGAGCCTCTAAGCCCTTTGTATGATAGAAAAGGACTGCAGAAGGAAATTCAGTGTATTTCTCTCCTTCTGTTCCTTCCTGTGGTGGGTTGACCCTGGCCAAAATGCCAGGTGCCCACCAAAGCCGCTCTATCACTCCCCTTCCTTAACTGGACGGGAGAGAGGAGAGGAAAAAATAACAGGCTTGTGGGGTTGAGATAAGGACAGGGAGATCACTCAGCATTTACTGTCACGGGCAAAACAGACTCAACTGAAAGGAAATGTAATTTATTACCAATTAACTCAGAGAAGAGTAACGAGAAATAAAACCAAATCTTAAAACACCTTCCCCCCACCCCTCCCTCCTTTCCCAGGCTTAACTTTGATCCAGATTTTCCTCCCTCCTCCCCGTGAGCGGCACAGCGGGAAAACAGAGAATGGGGGTTGGGGTCAGTTCATCACACTGTCGTTTTCTGCCGCTTCTTCCTCCTCAGGGGGAGGACTCCTCACACGTTTCCCCTGCTCCAATGTGGGGTCCCCCTCATGGGAGAAAGACCTCCATGACTTCTCCAGCGTGAGTCTTCCCATGGGTTCAGTCCTTCATGAACTGCTCCAACGTGGGTCTCCTTCATGGGGTGCAGTCCTTCAGGAACAGACTGCGCCAGCGTGAACCCCCCTCAGCGGGTCTCTGGCAGCAAACCAGCTCCAGCGTGGGCTTCTCT